AATAACAATAATATAAATATTACAAAGAGCTTCAGAATCAAGACAAATCTGTTTAATTTAAATTTAACATTTTAAAAGGCTCTATTAAAGGTCCAGTGTGTAAGATTTAGGTGAAAGAGATCTATTGGCAGAAATGTTATGTAAAATAACCCTAGTGATGTTTTCACGAGTGTGTTTCTTCTAAATCATATGGACTGTTGATTTCTTTAACCTACAATGGGCCTTTATATTGAAAAACTTTATATTTACATCACAGGGGGTCCTGTCTATGGAGCCACAGGTTCTCTTTCTGCAACATGCAACTTCACCACTAGATGTCACTAAACTCTACACACAGAACCTTTAATGATTAATGATGGACCCATGTCTCATAGGTTGTCAGGTTTATTGTTTATGATTATCCCTTAAAATAGATACAAAATAATTAGTTTCTTCCATTAATTTCCTGCACATCGACTTACGGCACATTGACGGGGAGCGCCAGTCGACAGGGACGCCCTGGTGGCAGCAGCGGTGTGCGTACGCCGCCACGCTGGTGCAGAAACATTCGCAGTCACCTCCTCGGCTGCAGGCGCATGTGTCCGCCAGACAGTTCATGTAGAACCAGGTAACGTCCACCTGAAAAACACAAAACACGCTTCAGCAATTTATCAAGAATATAAATGTTGACTGACTTTAATTTAAATATTCACACACTTTAAGGATTGATGGAAGGATGTTGAGGAAGAAAACAGTTGCATTTAACATCACAGTGTGTAATGATGCATTTATTCTGTTAGTCTGGAACATAATGGATCTAAAAGGTTATGGAGGAACAAAATAAAAGACACAAGGGAATGTGTTAAACTGAAAAGATTAGAAATATATGAGATTGACAGTTTTACAATGAGAAACTCTGGCACATATTTGGGTATAAAATAGTTGAACGTCGTCAGTCAGAAGATGATGAGCAGTGAGAGCAGGTTACTCACCACTGGGTGGCAGGCCTGGAAGACCTCGCCGAGCAGGACGGCACATTGACGCTTGGCAAAGGGTTCTCTGAGAGGACTGAGGCTGCAGGGGTGTCTGATGTCTGGACTGTTCACACACTGACACACACACACAACAAACAGTAACAATTTCAGTGAAGAATCAGAAACCTTTTTTTTACTTTAAACTTGTTGTCTGATGATGATCCAGGTGATACTCACCTCCGCTGCCGTCCAGCTGTTACCAAACTCCTGTGGTGTAGGAGAGTCGATGTTGTCGGGCGTCCGCATCTCGTTCACCGTCTTCAGGTCAAAGTTTCCACACAGTCCACTGAGCTTCCCCTGAACACATCATCATCATCACCACCATCATCTCTTTAGTCGGATAATTTCATCATATATTGTATCGTCCTGTTTGTTTCAAAGCTTCCTGAATGTCTTTAAACAAACTCATTGCCTGTAGTTTCTCTCCGATCGCCACAAACAACAAATCACTTAATTATTAGACTAAACAATCTCGACTGAAGGTTCACTTACGTTGTCGTTTCCAAGATTTCAACCACAGTCTCCATTAGGAGAAGAACAAAAAGTGCTCACCCTGTTTGAGCATCATGTGATGCGGTTGAAAGCTCAAAGAAGCGAGTAAGAGGATGTTGAGCGTGATGCATGAACTGTAATCCTCAAATTCTAATTATTTTTTGATTCCTCTTTAAGGAGGACAAAAAGACACATTTAATAAAATAATTACTAATTTCTTACACTGCACTGTTTAGTATTTGAGACTTTTATTTCTCATAGTTTCATTTGTTTCCTTTTTCTATTTCTCGGTTTCCCTATTTGATTTCTTTCTAAATGCTTCTTTTTTGTTTTCACATCATGATGCCTTTAATATTTTATGTAAAGCACTTTGAGTCACCTCGTTAGTTAGTTAATTATCTTATTAAAACAAACAAACAAACGAATCAGCGATTTTTACACTACTGCTCACTCTAGAGACTCAACAGTCACAGAGCTGGCATCCTACCTGCCAGCGAGGTCCAACCTGGATGTGGACGGTTGTCTTACGGTCCCAGAGGATGGTGACGTCCTCCTCTGGGAAGTGAATCACCGTGAAGTATCCCGCCGGCCAGATGAGCATCCTCTGCTTCCTGTCAATCACGCTGGATGGATTCTACACGAGAGAGAGGTTCCACTTCACATGTTGCTCTCATGGTGATGGGAAATCTGCCGCTGGAAAAGATCTAGACTCTTCTCTTACCGGCTTTGCAGTGTCGTCGTCGAACGCCACGAGGGATCTTCCGATGCTGATGAGCAGTGACTTCCTGCAGATGACGCCGCTGTCGAAACAGTCGACGTTCTCTGCCGTGACACTGAACATCACATCCGCGCTGCTCTGTGAAGGAAACACACACGGAAATGATAAAGTGTAAATCACAGCAGAGTTTGTAATTCTATCAGTTAATTTAGTGTAAAAGTCTGAGTTAATTTATAAAAGTTTCATTTTAAAAGTGTTTTATATATTGTAGTCACTGCCACTGTGCTACTGGACCACTTCCAAAAGTACCATTGATATTAATAATTATAAGGGTACAGTATAATAGTGCAATTTCCATTTAATTGTACAGCTGAGTAGTCAATGGGTTAAAATATATAAATCCACAATTTTGTTTCTTTTACCATGAAATCACTTCAATACCTTTACGAGATAGACTTTGCATGCGCCAACGTAGTCATACAGCAGACCATCGAATGTCCTGTAGTGGCGATCTCCGTACGCCGTGCACATGGACGGACACGGACGAAACACACACTGGAACGTCCCGTGCTGGCAAACACTACAAAGACATGGAGTGATTCAGCATCAACTTGTTCCCACTTAACTTGAGGACATTTTTTTTCCACATCTAATGGCCTCCTTTTGTCGCAAGACTCGGCAGAAAAGCATCCAGTGAATGGTCACAGTTCTGAATCACCGAGCTATTAGTCTGTCATCTACGTCTTCTTCTCTGGCTTGAAGAAGAAATGGGAGAATGACTGAGATCACTGAGAGAGTGTTTCCTTTCAGCAGTGATGAACAGTGTGAAGCAGAGGGAATCAAAGAGTCATAACAAGGGATCGCTCTGTTTTCCAGCTCCTTTTTTTCCTGTGCTGTGATAACAGAGAATTATGGATATCAGGTGACCACTGCTGTGGCTCAGACTCTATCTCAGGACTCATCGCTTTTAGGCAAAAATCTGACTTTGAAGAATTAGCACAGTGGATGGTGATTTGTCTTTATTCTGACAGATATTGTTGGCAGATGAGAGAAAAACAAATTAGAGCACTGAGGTGAAGAGGCTGAAGACCTGCAGCAGGAAGCAAGAATAACACCAGACTGTTGAATCTCTAAAGAAAAGCTTGAACTGATTTTATTTCCACAAACACATGAACGTACCACTGATGGCAGGGGGAGGAGACTCTGTCGCCTGGGTAATACTCCTTTCCCTTCCACAGACAGGGGCAGGCTGCAGGTTCGAAACACTCGTCCCCATGTTTCAGGAAGCTGGGAGCAAGAACACAGGTTGGACATTTTGGTCTGAGATCAACACTTGATGTTATATAAATATCCTTTCTGGGGTTAAACCCTGAAAATGTAGCCTCTGAATCCTGGAGGAGACACAGGGTCCCAGATGTTCAAACATCTGTGAGCACCTGAAGATCTGAGATATAAAACCAAACGGAGACAATACGCCCAAGCCTCATAACTCAGTACTCGTGAAGATATGGACATGTATGAATGTGGCTGTTATGGATTTTATTATGTATGAACTATGGTCTAATAACACAATCATCATTCGGTGTCCCTCTCTTATATGAGGACCATCTTCTGCCAACATAACGACAGAGACCGAGCGATGCCGGGAGTCGAGAGTTCCAGGGGTGGGCGCCTGCGGATGAAAAGCCTGAACGCTCGTTAGCCACATGAGAAAACCAGACGATTAGGATTCTCAGAGTGTCTTTGTGCCGATCCCTCCGTTTGCTTTGCACTCCGCGAGACGAAGCCGATAAGCATCTTGTTATAACCAGGGTCGAGCTACATCCACTGGCGATGGCTGCGGACAATGAGTTGACACACTGAATGGTCCCGCCACAAACTTCAGGCTCATCGGAGTAGAGTTACACCGCAGATAAAACGGCGTTAACAGCTTCCTTTAACCTGCCGCCAAGCCACCATATCAATTACTCTGATCAAAGTTTCTGAAATCACTCCCTCTCCCGACCCATGTGCACATTATGAACAAATCCTCATAAACATGGCTCTCATTTTGAATTCAATCCTATCGGACGACGTATAGGTGTCGGGGGAAGATGTAGTTGCGTTGTGTGGTGACTGGCGGCCGGGTGGAGCGGTGGGTTGAATGCAGCCTGCGATGTTTCTGGTGTTGTGCCAGGTTTTTCAGGACTCACTGGAAATCACAGGTTCAATCGCACAAGATAACAAAAGTGGAGAGTGTCTCGTGACTGTTGACAGCATTCAATGTTTCATGGAAGTCGAACCAGTGAAGTTAAAAAACTGTAAACTTTTATAAGTTGCTGTTACTTATAAAAACAACTGGGAAACCAATAAAAATTCCAAAAGTTGATTAAGGTAAGTGTAACTACTAATCTTAAGTTGTGTTTGCTTATTTACTAAAATGACAGACACCATATTTGAGAAACATTTATTTAACGTCTACTTTGACGTTATAATTTGGTCCATGTCCAGTCTGCTAACATGGGGGAGGTTTATGACCTACACTTCAGCTGGCTTCACTTTTGGGAGCTGTCATGTCGAACATCTTGGTATAATCAACGGCCTGGTTTGCGAGTTGCCTACAATCTGTGTTGCACCCGAAAGTTCAGGTTCATCAGAGTTCAGTCGGACTAATTGACACAGAAGGAGGAATCATAAACGTCATAAACAAAGTGTTTCATTGTGAATCAAAACACAATGAGTTCTCCTGTCAGCACCTCAGCTTATTATTTCCCCTCTGAGGCTTAAAGGTCCAGGGTGGAAGATTTAGGTGAAACGATCTATTGGCAGAAATTCAACACAAAAAAATCCTAGTGATGTTTTCACTCGTGTGAAATTATCTTAATTGTTGTTTTCTTTTCCTGAGAAGTGCCTTTTACATTAAAATACTTTATATCTACATCTGGAGCGGGTCTTCTCTACAGAAGCACAGAGTTCTATGACATCTGCAGCTACCACAGGTTCTCGTTCATGTTTGTAAGGGGGAGGGTGAGGTGAGGGGTATTCAGCTGCAACATGCAACATGACCACTAGATGTCACTAAATCTTGCCCACTGAACCTTTAAAGTCCAGCTACAGAAGAACAAGTTGGGTCTGAGTTTGGATTTTTCTGATGTCACAATCGGCTGATCCTCAGTGAACCTTTAAGTCGTCTCCCTTATTAACGATGCTGTCATCAGGGGGCGTCCGGGCTGAATGAAACCTCTGTGTCCATGTTTACCACAAAATTACTTCACAAACTATCGTGTTTCAGGCCGTTATTAAACACCCGCTGCACCGTGGATGTCAGAGTTTGGAGTTGGTGGCTCCCGTCACCGCAAAGGTCGACGTGCTGTAAGTGGCAAACAGGATTAAATGAATCACACCGATGAGGTCGACGAGGCGTCTGCACCAGAACGACCTGTTCCTGTGTGTCAGCTTGTTTCATGACGTCAGACGATAACTGCTGCTATTTAAAGACATGTAGGGGAAACTTTCAGTCAATGTGATTTACTTCAGTGTTTATTTATTCACTTAATTATCTCAGTTGATTAGTTTCATATTCATCTTTACATATTTAACTTTACGTAATGGTTTTAATCCAATAATAAATATAATATGTCTTTCACATATAAAGGATGCAGGAGATTTTAAAATACAATGGAGACTATTTCTTCTTGCAAACTTCGATTAATATTATAATTGATATATTGTATATTATTATAAGTGTAAATTATTCTCGCCTTTTACTCTTTAATTTTGTGTTCAGAAGTTTGTTTTGAATTTCAGTCATTTGTACTTTCCGTGTTATTCTTATTCTGCAGTTAGATGAAAGTGAAGGGTTAAGAATATCAGTCGGATACACTGTGCTGAGTGTGCATTAGTGTCCAGGCCCTGAATCAGCCAAACAAAGGACTAGTGTTGTCTCTCCTGCTGCAGAGATACCATCAGTCCGCTATATAATCTGAGCAAAAGTGTCATAAACTAGGAAACGTTTAAACTGACCCCCGCCTGTTCATCTTCTAATCAGGATGACTCTTGGTTGATGTCACAGAATGAAACCACTTAACCCTCTTTTCAGGCCGAGAGCCAGCAGCGATTAGAGGGATCAGATGACCGTGATCTACTCCGTGATGTCCGACCACCTCATCTGATGGTTTTAGGGACTTTTGTCCACCAGAGATGACCAACCAGAACAATTTCAAACAAATGACTCAACATGTCAAATTAGACTCGTTAGATGAAACATCTGAAACATCTGCATCATTCACATCATTCTGTTGCGCATTCGGTAACTTCCAAAAACAAGGATTCAGTGATCGTAAGAAACGAGCTGTAGGACGTCACTCACCCAGGAGGACAGGAACATCCGGCCACACAGGGCTCATGTGTGGAGCAGGTGAGGTTCAGCAGGTAGGACTCACAGGTACGCTCACAGGCCACACCCCTTCCTGGCAGGAGGCCGTCCTCCCCCTCCGAGCAGTTCAGGTACAGTTGACCTGCCGGACACAACCTGTCTGCAGGAAGTGAAGGAGGAGAAGTTAGCACAAGTTTTATGCACCTGTGAGAAACAAGGAAAGATTCAGAAATCTGTTGTTTCTTTTAAAAACACACAAATACTCTATTCCATTCTTTTGTCTGAATTTAAGCGTCATGCATAAAAAATTAAGGATGAAACATTATCAAGGATTAAAAATCGGTGTTTTAAATGAGTAACTTACCACTGTCTGTTGTTTGAGACAGCAGTTTACCGTTCAGACAGAGCCTGCAGGAGCACAGAGATGAAGGTAAACACGGAAACCACATGTGAGGAAGAACTCACATGACATTAAACACACTCTCGATTAACGACATGTTTGTGACAATTCATTCTATGGGTCCAGTATTTTCAAGAAAATATCTTCCTAATTTTCTAAAATTAGCTTGAAATGATCTGTCATAAGGATATCGAGGAAAACTGGTACTTCATTCAATTATAAGGGAATTGAATGAACTCTTGGTTGAATTAGCTGCTCCGTGCACATGCAAGTACATTTACATGAAAGATAAATGAAGACAGAGTCGGGGGAGGAGGAAGAGGAGAATCTTACTGAACACCTGCGGACGTCATGATCACATCTCCCGGCTCGTAATCTGCTCCGAGGAAACTGCAGGGACACTCGCTCCTGAGAAACACAACACAAACACACAACAACAGATCAGATGTGCAAGATGAAAATATGAAAATCAACAGAATACATTCAGAAACACGCTGCTGGTGACAAAAGTGATGAGTCCTACATGCTCGCTGTTCAATTTGTGTGACGAGGGACTGAAGTCACGTTCAGGGAAGGGGTAACGTAAAGTTTTATTCACGCTTAGCAGCAGACGGCCCAGAATGATGGTTGATCCACAACGAGACCAAAATTAACAGTGGCAGGAAAAAACTACCAACTGGGTAACTGTGTGTTTCCTGCATCACATTTACATCAGGAGCGGCTTCTCTCTACAAGAAGCTCAGACTGGACAAACTAAACCTTTTGAGTTTTTATGAGGACTGACGGTTTCAACAGGTTCTCTTCCATGTTTAGAAGAGGAGGGTGAGGTGAAGGGTATTCAGCTGCAACATGCAACTGCACCACTAGATGAACTCACTGAATCCTACACACTGAACCTTTAAATAAAATCGTGGAAACATTCTGGATAATGTACGTCGATATAATATATAACATAGGTTGAGATGTTTTCTGAATTCTCATGAGTTTTGTCTCTGCATGGGTTTTCTTCAGCTTTATAATATAATATATAAGATCTTCAGAAAAACTCTAAATTACACATCAGTCTTTGGGTGACGTTGAGGAAACACAGCTCAGCTTGTCCATCACCGTGTGAATACAAAGCATTATGGGTAAGTGGAGAGGGGACAGATAAGTAGGAGGTGAAATCAGTGAGCGAGGTGTCGAGGCTTTTTTCCTTCAAAAAACTCATTATTCAGACAAAGTTTGTATTAAAAGAAATAAAAATGACATGTACATGGTGGTAAACTGTCTGAGAGCCTTTGTAACATATAGGCCATCGGCACACATCGGCCTCTGTACTACAAATTCTTTCTCACTGGTTATCAGATATCTGTGTCGTCCCTGCTCCGAGCGGGAATGAAAGGGGGGTTTCACGGTGAATTCCTCGATGTAACTCTATCACATGGTAAGTAAGGCACCGAGGATGTAAAAACCTGGTGCATTTAAGAGGAATTAAGCCCCATGTCTTCAGGGCAGAGCGGAGCTGAAAGAGAGGGCACAATTACCCAGGTCCTCTGGCTCTGTCGGGTCTGCAGCAGAGACACAACTCTTCCCACTTAAAGGCTGACCTAAACTCCAGAGCAGATACAAATATCACTCTGAGAGCATTTGTTGGGTGGAGTGCCATTTAACAGGATTCACAAGCTTCCACCACACGGCGGCGGGTAGAGGACACTTGGCCCCTTGAATCCCTCCTGCTTCCTGCTTCCTGCTTCCTGCGAGGACGAAGCAACGCTATCGTCTAAATCAGAGTCTGAATTATTTATTGGTTGGTCGATATAAAATAGCCTGATATGAGCCAGCCTCCAAAAATCAGTTTCTGTCAAGCTCTGGTCCAAGAATCTTAAAAATGCGCTATAGTACAAATTGCTGTATCTCTCCCCTTGTGTTGGAGACTCCGCCTCCTGAGTCTCACCTGTGCACACAGGTGAGTGTGCGATGGTTGTAGAAGGATCCCTCGGGGCAGACGCAGCCCTCCTCACACTCCTCCCCACAGTGCTGTGGGACGGACAGGGCAGAGCAGCGGCGCTGGCAGGACGACACACAGGTGCCGTACTGCATGGTGGAGGGACAGCTGACGTCTGCACACAGGGACAGTGGTTTTATACTTCACCGTTTTCAGTCTCGATGACCACAGTATAATCCACACATACCTCCATACAGCACATACTGCCCTCAGTTCAGTATCAAGTGGAGACTGGGATAGAACCACCAACCATCTGGTTAGTTGATCCATCCATTTATCAATTCATCCATCTATCTTTACTTTTATCTATAAATCTATCCATCCAGTAATTTTGGGATTTCATTTTTTTTTCTATAAGAAAAGGGAAAAGAGGACCCTGGGTGGTCACATTTCATCCTCATCTTCATTTCCCTTTCATCATAATTCATCCATAAATCCAGCGTCACTTCCTGTGACGAGCTGAAAACTCACCACAGTCGGGAACGTGCGATCGGAAGTCGACGATGACGGAGAATCTGCGGCAGTGTCGAGCGTAGTGGGCCAGAGCGGAGCAGAGGCAGGGCTTCCCACACTTACAGGTGTCTGAGCGACACTGCTGATGGAACGGTGTCGGACTGAGGTACTCGTGGCAGGAGGAGAACAGATCCTGGTTCAGGACGTCGCACATCCCAGAGGCGTAGGTCACTGAGCGGGAAAACATCACGTTCCAGGTGAAACAAACAAACCAGGCCGGTGCAGAACATTTATTAAATATCATATTGTTTATTTCCTTTATTGGTTTTAGAGAAGCAGCTGTCCTGTCACATTATAACAATGATTTATCATTAACAGACTATAAAATGAGTTATTTCTCACTGAGGTCGCTCAGTGTTGAAAGTAACATGTCTTTTTGTGAGATGAGCAGTTATCAAAATAATTTATTCAAACGCATATAAAAACTCCTTCACAATAAAGGCCCTTAAGTAATCTAGTGATTGAAGCATTGAAGAAATGAGAAATCTACTGTGAAGCTGCAGCTGCAGACAAAATACAGTTTGGTATTTGTTGAAGCACTGTAAATAAACTGTATCTGTTAAATGTACTGTTATCAAAATCAAATCATTGTTCATATTTCTATAAGAAATACATATTAATCTGCATAGTAAGAAGTTCAAATAATTGGATTTCCAGATAAAATTATTCTGTTTAAATCGCAGATGATTTTCCATTTCTACCTGATATTAATACACTGGATATGTGGTGAAACAACATTTCCTCAATTTAAAAAGTTTCTCTGCAGTAGAAAAAGTTGAGGGGCGAAACTGACCGGCCTGCTGGTGTGTGTCGCAGGGGTCGAGCGGAGGCCCGGTCAGACTGTGTGAACACGCTGATGAGACTCTCCAGGCATTTCCAAACAGCTGCGGAGTGCTTTCTATCATACCTGACGGAGATCTGCAGGAGGAACAGAGCACACGGGGGAATTTTAATACACAGAAATTATGGTTCCAACAGTCAGTAATTCTCCTTTTTGTTTAGAACTCCTAAATGAGGAATTCCTGTGAATTTAAATGCTCAACAATCAGATTGTGGCTGCAAAGTGTTTTCCAGACAAGCACTTCTCATCCTGACGGTTTGGTTGTCCACTTTAAAGCGCTGCCTTTCAACAGAGACCAGGATTATGTCTGTAATCGAAGAGGTTGAATGAGATTAACGTGTTTGTTTTATTCGGGTTTGTTAATTTTGAGCTCTTAAACACTGTTAAAGTGACAGATCAGCAAGTTTTGAAGGGAAGTTGGAGTGTACGAGTAAATCTGGAGAAGGTTTTCCCCACAAATGTAAAAATGTAGTTTTGATAGCTCAGCAGCTCTGTCAGCCTCAACCTCCGTCATTGATCAGCTGGTTTACACCCGTTTTACATCCAAATTAGAATCTGGAGAGAACTACCTCGGTTAATGACACTGACTGTGTCTCTATTCAGCAAGTGGCATTAAAACTTTCTCAAAGAGCTGGTGATGCCGATCAGGAAAACCTCTGTCGACCAGACCGTCTCATTTCGGTTCAGCCTTTGGGGTCTTGCAGGTTGTGTTGTCACCTCTGACTGATTGTTTGTCTGCAGGATTGCGCAAAAACTACCAAACAGATTCTTACTAAACTCTGTGGAAAGATGGAACATGGGCTTAAAAAGACGTCATTAAAAAAATTAAAGGGACTGTCGGGCCTTAGTGGACGTATGAGCTCTACTGAGTAATATTCTACGAACTAATAAAACAACATTGAGTTGTAATCCTCTTATAAAATTGAACTACTGCAGCTTTTTGTCAAGTAAAACCAAAGTAAATAAATAATAATCAGAGTTTAGCTGCAACGACTAAAGATAAAGTCGTCATTTTAACTGAAGACCTGAAGAAAAAGTAAGTTCCTTGACTTTTCTCTCCGGCAGCAAACGGCCACTTCAGTGATGTATATCCATTTACAGCTGTTAGACAACTTCCGCCCTTTATGGTCGGCCATTACGACACGGTACAGTGGAGTTCCTGCTCCGCTAACAGTCAATTCCTTGTTGAAGTGGCGTGTCCAGTTGGGTGCTCATCTGGCCCGACTTAAAGAGCTGATCACAGAGTGAGGTGTTTGATGCCGAGCCGCCCGACCAGAGTGCTTTACAGAGAGAGACAGAGAGAGAGAGAGCACCTCGCCATCACCTCGCTCTCTGCCTCTGTATAAGTAAAGCGTTCATTATCAGAGGGGGGGGGGTTAACAAACACACTTACAGGAAGTCATCCTGGATGTTTCCATTGAAGGTGCCGCACAGCCCCACCGTGTCGTCCTTCCAGCGCTCGTCCACCTGCAGGTAGAGACGAAACTCCTTCCAGCTGTACTGCAGACGCAGGCCGAACGCCGTCTTCACCTGGAGGAACATGGACGACAGCTCCTGGATCTGGAAGACGTCTGCGGGAGGAGACGAGATGAGGTTTTAAGTCAATAAAAACTCTTTAAAGTCTCTATAGAAAGTGATTTCTACAAAAAATCTATTAATCTACTAATTGTTTCAGCTCTAGTTTTGCATCTGCTGTATGTTCCTGCTTTAAGATTCTATTTCTTTTTTTCTTTGTCCGAAACTGTGCATTAAAGCTTCTGCATGAATAAAAACTGATTGTTCAGAATATGTTTGTGTCAGAGCATAAACTTGTTGTTGTGTTATTTCCCAGTGGGACCAAAATATCGGATCGTTCTCACACAGTTCAGCACAAAAGGCCGAAAACGACGTCACCAAAGTGCCGCAGTCATGTGAGAAGTGAGTTATACTCGGAGGGAAGGCATTTTGTGCGACACAATGCAGATAAGTATTGGGAACATTTCTGGTCAATAGCAGAGCTGTCACTCAATCCGTCTCCGCCATGACCCGCCGAGAGAAGTGAACAATGCTGGCAGGCGATAAGAGATGAGGAAGTTACCGTCAGAGTAGGGCAGGGAGATGCGGTACTGTGAGGCCATGAAAACCTCCCCGACGTGACTCAGGGTTATCTCCGTCCTCGGATCCTCGTCAATAACCAGGTTCACCGATTGGATGCAGGCCCCGTCCAAGTTCTGCAAGTAAGGAAAGACGGTTTGATAAATGATGCTGGCATTTTCCCAGACACACAACAGGACACGCTGTGACAAACACAGAAAAGTGCTTTTATGTGTTTGGAGTATTTCTACTCTGTGTTCTCTTATCACAAGGGTCAGAGTCGTGGATATATAACCTGAACTTCCTGTGTCGGGTTTCATTCATAGAGTCAACTTTATTTATATAGCACATTTAAAACAGCTTGGTGCTTTACAAAGTAAATCTGCTGGGATGTTATAGAAATATCTCAGGATAAAAAAGACGAGCTACACACGCGGAAGACGTCAACTTCAAAAGCGAGAAGATTCTAGAATTTTTGATATTGCGAACAAAAACTTGTGATCTCTGCAGGAGAATTTTAACGTTACGTCCTGTCTCCTTCTGCGCCTGGAGATGAGAATGTGTTGTTGTGAACACGTCTGAGCAGAGAATCTCCCGCTGCTTCCTCATGTGTGAAAAAGACAAACTCCGGAAAAAGTCCGGAGCCACTGACTTGATGACTGATGTCAGGAGATTCTCCAGAGTTCAGGTCTGAAAGCAGCTTCGGTCATTTTAGTTGCATGAACTTAATCAGATCTTAATCACGGGACGTGTGTCACGAGTAAAAAGATACAGAAATTGCCCGAGAGTGAATCACGAATACATCAACACGTGTAATTAAAACTCCCTCGTGTCACAAAATGTAAACGCTCTTACTTTAAAACTGCACTTAAACACATCGCTGTGGTTAAAACTGCGATTAGAGCCTTGGCCTCGTCGCTGACAGTAAACGATCCAGCTCCATGAATCGTCTCTTTCATGAGCAGCAGATCCTCACAGACGTTTTAGCACCCACCTCACCCCCCCACCTCTCCCCAGTCTACTCTTCCCATCATTCATCTCCTGTTTTCGCATAACCTTCTCTCTGTCCTGACCCCCCCCCCCCCAAACCACCGCCTCTCTTCACCTCCCGCTGCACTACAAAGCCGTGCACAGCTCTGTCAGTCAGGCCAGATAAGGTAATCCTGTTCACTTGGCTGTTAGAGGTCCCGGGCCCCTGCTCAGATGAGTGCGACATCTTATATCTCGCCTCCTCCCTCTGGTTTGCTGAGCGGCTCAAAGGCTGCTGGGAAATTGGAGGAAGCTTTTCATGTTTCATTATCTTCCACCCCGATTTTGATCGAGATGTTTCCTGGATGGATTTTCATTTGTCTGAGAAGCCTCCTGGACTCCGCAGGGATTATGGAGCAGTTAAGTAACGATATGATCTACATGACGGACAAACTGCATGAACCTGCGGAGTCGATTCAGCAGTTTGAGAGACAAGAGAGTCACAACTCAACAATAACAATGTTTGTCGCAAATGCAGTAACTCACGGCTCCACAGGGGGCGTTCTGGACGGTGACCGTGAACTTTCCAGAGTTTCGACTCTTGGCGAGGACGTACTGACACGTCGCAGGAAAAGTGAAGATCCGTCCGTCAAACGACTGAAAATACATGTCACCAGTAACCGAGCACTCGCCTGTAGAGACACAATAACACATATTCAGAGGGTAAAGAAGTAGAAATATCTGACCATTCTATTCTTTGCATTTTCAAAACAGGCTTGTTAATGTCCTGTAGTGGTTGAATAATCCAACTGGAGAATCAAATCATGATTTATCTCCAACAGAACTAGTTCTAAATGTAGGTGTTGATTTTTTTTTCTTCTGACAGATTTCTTGACTTAAAATCGGTGAAAGTATTTCTGGACAGAAAGCTTCATCTTCCTTGGTCCATAACGAACAAGCTTTCTCCCTCCTTACTTTCCTTTCCTCCACTTTTCTAAATCCAGGACGACTTCTGACGATGTCGTTTTTTCCTTCTTTGTCGATCTTTACTGGAAACCCTTTTTCTTCTGCTCACTAACCCAGAATCCACATCCATGCATTAAGGATTTTTTCCCCTCCAAGTTCCCAAAGTAGGAAACAAACAGATTTATCCTCTCTTGGTTTAACTAAGACAAATATCAACATTTATAAAACGGTGAGGAAAAGCTGACGTGTTGAGAGCATCTCTGGTTTGTAATAAATTAATCACCTGCACCAACATTCTGTAGTGAAACGTAACCTCCCGCAGAGAGAGGGCACAAACCTGGGCAGCTGTAGTCGGTGCAGTTCCACACTCCACCCGTGCACGTGCTGAAACAAAAAGCAGAGACGTCCACAGGTGGAGAACATGAAAGCCTGAGCTGATAATCAGCTGATCACTGATAGAAGCTGGACACAGTGAGTCCAGGTGGTCAGATCTGGTGAGATTAAACAGACTGCGTGGACAATGCACTGATTTTTTACATACGTGATGATGACAACAAACCACTGGGGTTCATTTACAGGAAGCCGGTGAGACGAGGTTTTGAGGAAAATAATGTGTTAAAGCATAAATAATGCAACTATTTCAAGAGAACATCAAACAGTTAAATCAGAGCTATAATCCAGTTTCATCAGCCACATGTGATCATGACATGTGAGGTGAGAGACATGTTAAACTCCTCTCACCAGTTGTTGCATTCCTCCTGCAGCGTTTGACCGGACGGGTAAAACATGCCGTGGTACTCGCAGGGACAGTCGGAGGGCGTCACACAACCTCCGTCCTCGTAGATCAAACCTGAGGAGGAAAAAACAGCCTCATGTCATCTGGAGATAACAACGTAAAATAAAGAGTAAAGAAGCAGGATTTTCTGCTCATGTTTGTTTCATTGATAAAGGATTGAATGAAGAGTTTTGAAGATTACTGAGACGGAGCATTAGGGACAGATTTGGATTGAGATTTCAGGAATAAAGTTGTAGGTGAGAAGACAGTGGTAATATTAGAAGGACAAAGTCGGAATATTATGAGAATAAAGTCATAAAACTTGAAGAAAAAGAAAGACAAATAGGAAATAACAAGTTTACTCCTGGATCCAAACTCTTCAACAACTCAACACAATCTTAATCTCTTGAAAATCTTTAATAATCTTTAATCTGATGAGGCGATGGATCAAATTTTTAGTTATCCCTGAAACTCATACGGAACTGTAACTTCTAACATTCTGCCACAGGCGACAGTTTGATCTTCTGATATTCCCTCTAAAATGACTCAGAGCCAAATGTTACTCTCCTCTTCATGTGGCCCCAATACTCCATCGTAGGATACAAACTAGAAGATGAAACTTTCTAGAAAGGAAAAGTGGTTGAAAGTTTAAGTCGGAAGACAAAGAAAGAAAAAGATGTCTTTGCAAGAACAGAGGAATATCTGAGTAGAAACTGACCATCGGGACAGTAGCATCCGTCCAAACAGGCCAGTTTGCTGTCGATACACGTCCGCTCCAGGTTGCAGGACTCCGGGCAGCAGCTGATACATTCCCTGTACTGCAGGCCGAGAGGACACTGCTTCGCTGGTCGCAAGAATGAAACATAACATGTGAAAAACGTATATATATTTCTACTGCAAAGACTGACAGTTAAAGTGGGGATTTGTTTGTAAATGCGTTTTTTAAGTTGAGCAGCATTAGTCTACGGTTTGTTAGCAAACGTTAGGTAGGCTCCACCAGTGCACGTATCTGTTTTACTTAAATCATTTTACCATCAATTTAACTTCAAATGAACTCAAAATGTTGTAAATTGCTTAATATTCACTGTTTAACTTGACTTGCTGCACTTTATGTACGTCATGGTTTCTTGGGTTATTCGTATAATTAGACTGAAACACAATCAAAGCACCAAACTACATTAAACTTAACTGTTCATTCAATTCACCAAAGAGAAATAAAGAGAGTTAAAGAGTAGTTTTGTATGTCATTGCTCAAATCCCATAATCTTTTAATCATAACATATAGATATGGATACAGATATTGTGATGACAATAAATGAATTGCTGTAGCTATTTGTAAAACACCTGGAGGAACGTACCACAGTGAGGAATGTGCTGCCTCCAGTCGTGCAGTGGGTGGTCGGCGTGGGCGCAGGCCCGGGCGTACTCGCTGAACACCTGGCACACCACGTCACCGCTGGGACCCGACCTTCAACACAGCAACAAACACAGACGTGGACGTAGAGCGGAGCCTGGAGAGCCGTGGTTCACCGAACTGATCAGACTGCGCGGCTCAAACACAGAACTAAACATCAAATCTGAAAAAATCTTCCAACTTTAAATAGAAAACTGAACCTGAAAGAGGTTTTTGAGTAATTTCTCAAAGTGGATCATCAGATAAGGTTCATTTGTTTCTGTCCACAGTGACTGTCTTGACTTGAGAGCTTTATCGTGTCTGTATGAATGTCATCTTGTAATCAGGGATCAATAAAGTGATTTGTTCTTACCTGCAGAGGTCGTTGGAGCAGCTGGCCATGAACGACAGCGGACTGACAAAGTCGTGGCAGCTGTGAAACGGAGGATCCAGCAGCATCGCACAAACCTCCTCCACTTTCTGCAGAAACACACACAGGTATAGTTATAGGTATATGAAATATGAGGAATTTATTTCTGTCCTCCCACATTTTTCAATCATGTAATTTAATTCAATAGAAACAATCAACACTTAGTTTTCCAGAATACTTAATAATTATATCTAAGTTTATTTTTTAATGGTTTCAGTCAAACAAAAACAATAATCGACCAATTAAGCCTGTAACAGATTTCTTGAAAAATATACATTCATAGTTTAAGCAGCACATTATTTAAGTTAAAACATTTCTTTGTTGTGTTTGATGATAACGTCAGAGGATGTTTTTATTTATATCAGACACGTTACCAGCAGGATGTGATCTTCGACTCCAGCACAGGGGGAAGGGAAGCCGGACGGCACCATGGGACATCGGGCCTGATGTGGCTCCGTCTCCACCCAGCTGTTCCCGAACATTTCTACTTCATGAGTCAGGACGCCTGACAGAGAGAGAGAAAAGTTTCATAAAAGAGTTGTACTGAAGAAATGAAATGATCACAGAGTCAAGAGTCACTTGTTTTGTATATTTTAAAGTTGCACAGGCTCCACTTCTCTGCTGACTCTTTTAACAGCCACAGCTTTGAGTTCATTTCAGCTCACTGTGAAAATCACTTGAATAAATCAATCAAAAAAAATCCAAACGTAATC